AACAAGGGTTCATTCTGTGTTACCGTTTTATATACTAGCATACAATTCAGCCATAGCCAATATACCACAGTAGGAAGAAATCCGTATGAAAATATCAACAGTAAAATTATTAAAAATTTCCCTTTTCTCTATCTTCTAGAAAGAGAAAATGCAACAGAACAAAAATACATCTTTATCCATTTGAAACAGTCTTTAGAAACCGCTTAGCAATAAAGGCATCACACAAAAGAACAAAGAATTGCTGTCAGGGAAGCACCAGCATTCAAGGACTGTCAGAGTTTCAGGGAGTCAGCGTGCCTTTGTCCTTATCCGGTGCTGCCAGTGAGCTGCTGTGCAAACTTACACTAGTCATTTTCCTCTCTTCATGCTTTAGTTTTTTCTGTCTATAAAATGGCGACAAAGTACTTTACATAACAAATACCACTGAGATCTAAGGACAAAAAATACCCACAAAACAGATTCCCTGTTATTATTTCAAAAATAATCTATTGTTTGCATCCCTGTGTCTGTTTATCTTCATTTAGGGGCTCTGTATAATATTTGATGTCATACTATATTGAATGAAGGTTACATAGAGATGGCTACTGCATTTATGATCAATAGAAAATTGCAATTTTTTTCTCCCAACCAATTCCTTCCAATGATCCAGCAAAACACATCAATAAAAAGCTCTGAATTGACGCTGTTTCCCTATTTCATGCCCTGTTTAAGTTCCCTGGGGATGACAGATTAATTTAATTAGTTTTATTGAACTGCCTAGTTGCTTTTATTGGCAAATCCACTCATACGAGGAAGGCTGCAAATTTCTCTTGGGGTTAGCATTGTCCTACTGGTCCATTTTTAAAATTAAAGTGAATTTCCTGTCATTTCTTGTATAGTTTTCTGCTGTGCTTTCTGCTGCTAGGCTCACATTTGTAAAGTGCCTTCACAGACACTTATGTAGAAAGTTTAAAGTTGTTGTTTTTCCTAAACATGGTTAACGAAAAAAGGAAGCAGACAGCTACTGTCAAATGGACTGTGAACTAAATACATCACCCAGCCTTCACTGGGGAATTAAATTAATCAGCTCACAGCAACGCAGGCTATGGCTCTTGCATGCCACCTGGAAGCAGGGAAGTGGTCAGTCACTGTCTGACTTCCCCTGCTTGCCAGCCTGCTGGGCACAAAAGCATCACAACAACAGCCCTGAAGCTACGAAATACACATCCACCGTTCAGTTTACTTAAAGAGGCGTCTGACCATGGTCCTAAGGCCCCAACTCAGTGCCAGGCGCTATGAGGTATTGGAAGTTCAGCACACTAAGCAGCTGGAATGGACACACTGAATCCCAGTGGCTAAATGCCCAGCACCATGGAAAAACTCTGAACCTAAACTTGGATTTGGGTAAGAATTTTGTTCCTGGAAGCATTTCTCTGTGCAGCTGACTGACTTCAGGATCCCATATTTTTAGAAGTGGGAGAGGAGTAATTGCTTGGGTCAATTTTTTTTTCTTCTGTATTTCCTGTAGAAGGTCAAAGGAGATATTTCATGCTCCAGTGAATTTCCCAGTCTTCCTCTGAATTTAGAAAAACAAGCAGATGCTGCCCTCTCATTTTGGACCTCATAGTTCTCTCCAATAGATTTCAAATGCTTTTTCTAAGATTTGAAAGAGCTTCCTTGCTCCTGTGGCCATTTTTAAAAAGTGGGGATTGGTTCTATTTCTATTTCAAATGGATTTGGTGCCCAAAGCGGCTCTAGTAAGTGTTTAGTACTGAAGAGATCACTCATTGATCACATCTATACAAATCTGTGTCATCAATTTCCTTGTAAATCTAACTCTTCTGAGGCTTCTTAGGGCTCACAGGACCAACGTGTCAACAGACAAACCCAGCTGCACAGTCGAGATGTCACTTTTCAGATTTTTTCTTTTGACTTATACAGCATAGGAGAGTTGTACAACCTTACAGTAAATGCCAGTCATCTGTTTTATTATCAGATTGAAAATTATATTACAAAAAGTTTGCCAGCCCTTTCACTTACCTATGCATCTTGTTAATATTATCCTTTCAACAAAAAACACACTTTAGATGTTGTGCATAGGAAAACTAGGGAACGTACTAGAATTTTAACCTAAGCCTCAAGTGTCCATCCACTACAGGATCAATAAAAATGATTAAAATCCTTACCAATTATGTACGGAACGCTGCCATATTTTTTAAATATTATGCATTTAAAACATATAGGCCATTTTCAGTTGGAGTTTAAATGCTTTTGGTTTAAGACTCAGTTTTAAAATGTCATTTAAGTAAGTTTATTCACATCCTGTCATTAACAGATCTCGAAGAAGTGAGGTAAAAGCCTTACTATAAGATCTACCCATCAATAAGTCTATCATTCTGTCACAGCAACAAGCACACTTTAAAACAAGTAGACTCAAAGTAGTTACTTTTATAGGAATAACAAAGTCAAGATGATTAAATTTTTACATCAAAGATATGGTTTTACGGTTCAACTACGTTATAATGTATCTGTGTGCTACTTAAACCACATACATATCACTAAATAAATTACAGAGATTTTTGAAATACCTTGTCACCAAATGTTGTTCTACCTGAGCTAAAAGAACATTCTCCTAACTAACACAAGGAAGAACAGGATCTCCATTTGTACTCTATAGAGTAGCCAAAGGTAATGTCACACATTCAGATATACAGAGATAACATTACAAAAATGACATTTGCTTTAATAAGATATTAGCAATCCTTAAAAAGCCTATAAATTCAGGGATATAAAAATGCATTAAAACTCATTTTCCCATATTTACAAAAATGGGAATGTTCTGTCAGTAAAAGATCTTAATGTGCTCACAGGGGGATACTCCAGACTAACGTTCATAGTCTCAAACGGTTCTTTCTAGATATCCCAGAATAGTCAATGATGCTTATTTTTTTAAGCTCAAAGTACGTATTCTTTTCAATTTTACTCTGTGATTTTAACAAATGAAGAAAAATTAAACATTGGTTTGGAAAGCAGCTTCCTATGAGATGCTTACCAGAACAATGGAGAAACTCCTGGTGCAAAAATACCCTTGCAATCCCTAATGAGGGAGCTAGTACACATTCACGCACAAGTAAAAATCACCTTATATAAACATTGTAGCCTGTGAAATCAGTGGGTTCTAGTTAGTTACATGTGTTTCTTCTGTTTCCAGTGCTATAAACAGCCAAAAATCTTATCAGATGGTGATGATGTTCAAGGAATTATTTTAAAGAGCTCATAAATGTTTATACACAAAACTGAATAGACTAGTTGGTTATCTGTGCATATGAAAAGGTATCTCCATATCTAATTATGCACAATTGCGAATTCTAACACTAATGCCCATTGTGCAAAGATGTACTCCGTGGTTCTACACCGTTATCAGGTCAAATTCAAGGTAATCTGGAAAAGGTCAGCTTTTACCTTTTTTTCCTTAATAGACTGACAGTAACCACAAATCTATCCCAACAGTAGATAGCTGAACTCATGACATGAAAGTGAAAAGTTCTGGAGCCTATCAACAGATAGTCTTATTAAGATATCACAGTTGTTTTTTAAAATTATTTTTGTTGGAAGTCAAAGGACTATTCTTCAAATGCAAACTACAAAAACTAAGACTGTGATATTTTTAAAAGTATTTTTGCACTGTTTTGATGCTAAAATGCCTTGTGCTTTAAGTGGAATTTTTGCCGGTCATTAGTTTATAATGCAAGCCAGCACCTTTAGGTATTTTTAAAGGAAAATGAAGATGGGAGGAAAACAACCGGAATTGTTTTGTTTATATCAGTAGAGAAAAGTGCATTTCTAAGCATTTAATTCAGCTAAAACTCCACCTTTTATACACACGCTTGGTGGCAAATGCTGTAGTGACTATCGAAGTGATAGAACTACATGCTGAGGCTTTTTGCAAGTTGCATCATGATGTGCAGCATGCTTTCAAGATAGAAGCTCTCCCCAGTGTATCAATCATACATAAAGAAGACTAGAACCTAATTTTCAATCCTCTTATCTCATCCCCTAGTGCCTCCCTTTTCTATTTTTTATTAGGAGTAGAGACAGAAGGCTGCCATAAGATTATTTCTATGGCAGCTTCCACTCCCCCATTGGTTTTCTGCTCAGTGCCTGTGACTGACACTTAGTTCTGCCTGAAGGACAAGGACAGGACAGACTTCTGAGTGCCAATCAATGGAGCGTGCTGCATCATGTAATTGGAAAATACAGTGCTTCTGGAATAAGATGAGGATATCATTCTCAGTACAAAGCTGCGGTCAAGAGAATTATAACTGAGTGATATGTAACTTGCATTCATTTTTATGGCATCTGCCTTAAAGCGGCTAGCAAAAATGAACCTGAGCTATAGAATTTGGGTACTGATCTGAACTTCTTGTAATGCAGCAATGCTCACGTCAGCGTTAAGCCCCACCTCTAACGCTTTCATTTCATGTGCAAAGCGTGAGACCTTTTCAGCCTAATCACCGTAACGTGATGTCCCTTCATCCACGTTATCCGCAGAGTTAGCTTGGTGCATACCACAGCATAGCACGGTAGCCCAGTGTTAACAAACCAATGAAAGTATCTCAACTGCACAACCCTAACCT